CAGATCTTCGTGGACATGGGGTTCGCCCCGTCTGTTGCTCACCCCACAAATGTGTACCATAAAAAATCAAGTGCACCTTGCGCGTCCTCCAAACATTCGAACAGACAGACGACGTCATCGGCGTACTCTTAATCGCACATCGTTTATCCAGCTGCCTATTCAATACCAACAGATGTCTGGCAGGTCGGGATTCGTTGCTTTCGACCATCAGGACTACTGACTCATGAGATATCCAATGTCTCCCACGAGCTTGAGGCTCAGACCCACATTCACACTCACAATCGCTGCGTAATGCATTGCTCGCCTAATCTAATCCTGCTGTCATACACGAACTGTTGGAACAAAGGTGATGATGAGCTATCGAAGTGTGCTGCTTTTATCGCCGGCTGACCAGTCGGAGTGAAACGCATCAAAACTAATGCGTGGTCAGACGCAATATAGGTGGTCCAATAGGACCTGCAATTCTGCACTGAGCCACACGAACGGTAGCTTACTGCTGTGGTCCATTTGAGTTAGCGTACCAGTTGAACTGGAGCGCCACTTTGCCGTCCGTCGAGAGCTGTGGGAAGTTGGTACTGGATAGGAATAGATGATCTGAGCAGAACTGAGGAATTCTATCACCGTTATCTGTTCGCTGGCACGGCAGAGCACAACTACCACCTAGGCAAGCTTCTGATGCACTCAGTTTTTTAATCCGCGTGTTAAAGCCACCTGTAAGTACTATGTCGGAGCTTCGACTCATCCGAATGAGATCTGAGAGTTTATCATAGAAACCGTCCTTTTGTGCATCAGAACTGTAACTGATCAGCATACGCCCATATGGTGAACAAACAACTTTCGCTGTTGCTTCCCTTCTGGACGCTGATTAAACCCTGAAGATGCACTGCACACAAAGGACTGTTGAGGGAGATCCAACCGATAAGAGAGGTCTCAGCCCTTTGCTGAGTACAAATCCTATCCCACGCTGACCTAATAAACGGGCTTCGTCGACGCCTAGTGTGCGAAGAATGCACCTCGAGGACAAATCTGGCGCAGTCAAGTAGCTTATAGTAGTAGTATCCTCAATTCGAGTCTCCGACACGCAGCAAATATCGAACCCTAAGGGTTCCATTGTACGCGCCAGGCAAGAAAACTGACCTACCTGCATCTGAGTTTTCGTGACGAAGGTCCCCAGATTCAGAGATTGAGGAGCGTTTAAAACTTGAAATGGATTTCGTGGTAAATTACTTAGAGTGCTTTGGCAACGAAGTTTGGTGAACGACATCCAAGTTGTTTGAGGAACTATTACGGGTCGGAAGGGGCAAATAAAGATGGTTGGGCACGAAAGACGAAGAAGTAAACAAATGTTGGGATGTCTGACCAGTAGCCCACTTGTCACTATCCACTCCACTCGATGCAATGAGCAAGGCGGTCCCGATTATCCTGCGCGACGACGGATGCAGTAAAGAATTATTCTTAGTTTGTGTATGGTTTGATGGACGGGTATTGCTAGAAGGGCTCACTTCAATAGATCAATTACTTCTCCACCATTTTTTTACCAACTGAAACGCAAATATTCTACTCCAACCCCAAACCTGGAGGATCAGGAGACTGGACTTCACATGACCTTTACCCTTTGACCTTCCAGGCGTAAGAGCTTTGACTCAACAAGAGCCATACTGTGCAACTCGTCGGGTCAAAGAGATGCACAAGCTACCACACCACGTCAATGTGCAGTCTGCGCAGGTGGATGATTGGATCATCGTGTTATGTAATCATTTTATTCCGATAATTATACTCCCTCCTGATCTCACCCAAGGTTGTTTGCTACCATGCAATCCTGTATAAATGTAGAAAATTGAAAATGAATAGCTGAAGAGAATTCTTCGCCTCAGTAGTTTCTTCAATGAACCTTNNNNTCTAGAATGAAAGGCAGTTGGGACTCCACCCGTATGAGCCTCCTCTTCTCCAAATCCGGACAAACTACCCATCAGCTAGTCGCCTGATTATTAGAAAATCATCCAGTCTCTGTTTGAACTTGTCATCATTTTTCTCTTCCACCACATATGCCGGGAGAGCATTCCAAATGTTGGTCACTCTCCTGGAGACGGTACACTGACGGAAGCCCGTATGACTCCTGCTTCTGAAGCGTGAAACGGTGACTACGAGCACGTGCATTATTGCGTAAAGGAAACTTTTCTTTCAGCTCCTCCCCCAGATTACCGCGGATAATCTTCCTGGTCGGCAGAATGTCACCGCGAAGGTGTCGATAACTCTCCATGTACAAGACGCTGGTCATATCTATAACGTAGACCCACAACAAGACGAGTAGCTGCTCACTGAACGCGTTCAATCGTCGCCAGCTCTCCCTTTGTTATGGGAAAAGCTGCCGCTCCCCCATACTCCAGACGAGGACGAACCGCCGTGGCATACAGAAGTTTAAAAGCCTGCTTCAACAGAGGCCCAAACGATCGACGGATTGCTCCAAGGATACCCCATGCAGAAGCACAGACTTTATCCGTGTGGCCTCTGGTCTTGAGGGATGATGCAATAATCACCCCCTAAGTCCCTCTCGTGGTCACTACTCCTAAGGAGAACATCGTTTAGTGTGTAGACCGGTCTGATGTCAGTGCGACCGACTCTCATATGTACAGACTTACCGATATTGATAGAGAGTGCCCACTCTTTCGCCCACTGGGATAAACTATCCAAATCCGCTTGTAAGGTTGACACTTCCAGTGACGACTGAAGTGGTCCCCATAGTTTCAGGCCGTCTGCGTAGACGAGGCAAGGTAAACATAGCCGACTGGGGAGGTCGTTGGTGTACAAGAGGAACAGTACGGGGCCCAGAACTGAACCATGAGGGACTCCACTGAGAACTGGATGCGCAGCGGATGTTAAATCACGGATCCTCACCGCAAATCGTCATCCCTTCAGAAAGTCCTCCACCCAAGTGAGTAATGGATTTATCACTCCGAATCTTCTCAGCTTAAAGAGCACTCTGTCATGTGGAACCTTGTCGAAGGCTTTGCTGAAGTTGACATAGACAATGTCCCACTGGCTTTGGCGGAACACCATTCCTCCCTAGCTAGAAGGTTTGATGTGCAGGATCTCATTGGGCGAAAACCATGCTGTTGGTGGCACAGCAGTTGACGCTCCGTCAGATGGTGGTGTGATCTACTCGAGATCAAGCACTCCGTCACTTTGCAGGAAATGCAAGTCAGACCAACGGGACGGTAGTTTGCCGGATCTGCCCTTGAACCGCTCTTGAACAGAGGAGATATCAGGGCACTCTTCAAATCTTTAGGGAGCCGGGTATATTTCAAGGAGCGATTGAACAAAGCACAAAGGGGGGCTGATATCACAGCCGTGAGCTCTTTCAACACCTAAGGGTGCAATCCGTCCGGACCGGGGGATTGGTCGGTGTTCAGGTTCTCCAGGGTAACCTGCACTTCACATGGGTTAAACTCCGGGACAGCCAAAACGGGTGAATTAGGGTCCTGAGTGTGCAAACCTTCAGGTAACAGTTCCTCTGACTCGTAAACTGATTCGTAATGCCGCGCGAATATATCTGCCTGTTCACCTGGATCATCCTTTAGCGTTCCTTGATCCAGGAGGTGGTAGGGTGGTACGAACTCTGGTTTTTCGTCGCAGATAAGCGAATAACCTCGTAGGCGCGGTAACAGCAGTCGCTGCTAAACTGTTCTCGAAGGTCACCCGTTTCCAGCGTTTGGCTGAGGTACAATGGTTGCGGATATCTCTGTAGTGGTCGTACCCATTACCGGTGTGCTGGAAGAATTTCCAAGCTCTATTGTGTCTGTGTAGAAGGTTCCGGAGTTCGTGTTCGAACCAAGAGGGACCTTTCGCATACGTCGGTACCACCCTGGATGGAGCGAACATACTGACTAGATTGATGATGTTCTTGAACTGAGCCCACCCGGCTTCAACATCAACGACATCCTCATCTGTTGGCCATTGATGACACTGTGCGGCCGCTCGCAGTTCATCAAATTGTATTTTCCACACATTGGGACGCTCCCGGGCATCCTTCACTATCTGAAAGTTAGTACGCCAATAAATTACAATAGCCACATGGTCGCTAGATCCAAAAGGATCCAGTCTATGTCGACCACGTCAGAACGTTTCGGTGATATGACAAGGTCTAACACCGATGCCGAACTCCCTTGGATGCGAGTGGGATCACGAATATGCTATAATGAGAGGGATTCCAACAGCTCATATAGCTCAGACTCGAACATTTTGATATAAAAGTGCTTCAGAAAAACGATTTCACTTAATCATAAATGTAGGGCTTACCCAGAGCCATGTTATAATATGGTTTGGAATCTTCGCCTAGGACAGCAGCTCTCGCACTTGTTTCATTGGCGTACTGAATAAAAGCGTAACCCTTGTGGACCGAGATTCCTATTACAGCGCCATACTTGGCGAAGATGCCTTCCAATTCCGTCTTTGACATCTGAACTGTGTTTAAGTTCCCGACAAAGACCCGAGACTTTAGGCTATTTGGATCAGTTCGATTTGTTATATTACTGACGCCGATCATGGTAAACAGGTAGCCAACGGCAGATAACAGACAGCGTCCCGAGCGTGTTTCAGTTCAGCTCAGTTCAGTTCAGTTCAAATTTCGGGTCAGTTCAGTTCAGTTCAGTTTGCACAGGACGATGTGTGGCCCGGGCCAANTTCTTGTGGCTTCCAACACTGCGAGGTCAGGTCAGGTTGCACAGGACTGGTAGTGGCCACAGGCCAATCAAGCGTCCAGAATTCCTTCGGTGGTGTGCTCGCGAGTGTGTCTTGAAGTCTTGAAGTGATTCACGGGTTCGAGGCTGTTGCCCAAATGTCCCGGGTCCTTGAAAGGTATCTGTGTTTTCTTTTGGTTTGGATTACCACTGGAACAGAGAGTACTGAAAAGGGATTAGTAGGGTTCCCCGC